CTGTGGGGGAGGGGACATTAGAGTGTAAGCTCCTCTGTACAGAGACTGATGTGACTGTGGGGGAGGGGACATTAGAGTGTAAGCTCCTCTATACAGAGACTGATGTGACTGTGGGGCGGGATATTAGAGTGTAAGCTCCTCTGTACAGAGACTGATGTGACTGGCTCAGCGTCCTCTGTACAGCGCTGCGGTATATGTCAGAGCGATGTCCATGCATACATTGATACCGCCCTCTATGTGTCTGTCCCTCTGGGGTCTCCTTGGGGTATACAGTGTATACAGCATGTCACAGGTCTGTGTAGCAGGCTGGCTCTGCGCGGGTTAATGATGATGTCATTGGATGGATGAGCACGGTACGGTACAAGAGGGATTTGTGTCCTCGCTGGGTGATATGATAGGGATCCGTCATTATAGAACATGTGACCTCATGTCAGGGCCGGACACACCCCAGGGGACAGACGGGCCAAGTGCCCCTGACACTCATCCTGTCTCCTCCTGACTTCTGCCCGGGACCTGCAGAGTTCAGGAGGAGTTCATGTCTCTCTGCTCTCCGGTAATCCCGGCCTGCTCCCATTAACACCACCCCTTCTCCCTCCTCTTGTAGTATTATGGGGGGGGATGGGCTGTTTGGGGGTAACAAGGAGGCTGCCACCATTACTGATGTCACAGCGACTGACCATCATCTCCTCTGTCTTCTGATTTCAGGGGTGGCCATCAGCACCTACGCCAAATACTGCCACAGGAAGCTCCAGAAAGCCGCCTTGATGGGAGCCAAAAAGGTGAGTAACATGTGCACCCCTCTGTACACCTCCCCTGTACACACCCTTGTGCACCCCTCTGTACACCCTTCTGTGTACACCCCTTTCCCTGCTCCCCATGCTCTGACACTTCCACCTCCTCTCGATCTTTCTGGCTCACTCCTACTTTACACCGGCTCTTTCTTACTTCCCCCAACTCTCTTTCTCCCCCTTGTGCTCTCTCTCCCCCTTGTGCTCTCTCCCCCTTGTGCTCTCTCCCCCTTGTGCTCTCTCCCCCTTGTGCTCTCTCCCCCTTGTGCTCTCTCCCCCTTGTGCTCTCTCCCCCTTGTGCTCTCTCCCCCTTGTGCTCTCTCCCCCTTGTGCTCTCTCCCCCTTGTGCTCTCTCCCCCTTGTGCTCTCTCCCCCTTGTGCTCTCTCCCCCTTGTGCTCTCTCCCCCTTGTGCTCTCTCCCCCTTGTGCTCTCTCCCCCTTGTGCTCTCTCCCCCTTGTGCTCTCTCCCCCTTGTGCTCTCTCCCCCTTGTGCTCTCTCCCCCTTGTGCTCTCTCCCCCTTGTGCTCTCTCCCCCTTGTGCTCTCTCCCCCTTGTGCTCTCTCCCCCTTGTGCTCTCTCCCCCTTGTGCTCTCTCCCCCTTGTGCTCTCTCCCCCTTGTGCTCTCTCCCCCTTGTGCTCTCTCCCCCTTGTGCTCTCTCCCCCTTGTGCTCTCTCCCCCTTGTGCTCTCTCCCCCTTGTGCTCTCTCCCCCTTGTGCTCTCTCCCCCTTGTGCTCTCTCCCCCTTGTGCTCTCTCCCCCTTGTGCTCTCTCCCCCTTGTGCTCTCTCCCCCTTGTGCTCTCTCCCCCTTGTGCTCTCTCTCCCCCTTGCACTCTCTCTCTCTCCCCCTCGCGCTCTCTCTCTCTCTTCCTTAACCCTTTTTCAGGTAAGTGAAGGAGGAATTACAGGTCCCCCGGACCCCTCCCCCTGTTATATCATAACATTATATTGATGTCATTATTTGTTTTGGAGGATAACCAGGAATAAGACGTGTTCCGTGTTCCGTGTTCTGTAGATTTCGGGCTCATTCTCTTCACATTCATATTGAATATTTTCCTGAGCCCGGTGACAGAAAAGAACATCTGACAGCTACATTGTCTTACCGACCTATCAGGGGGGGGGCACTTTAAATCTGAACTCGGGATCAGCAGATATCGTCCTAATACAAGAGTCATGTGTGTGTTCTCCTGCAATCTTCCAGATCTGTGCAGTCATCCCGTGTGGAACACTGCCTCTGTACAGCACAGCGGTCTCTTGTACCGTGACTGCACTCCTCCTGCTGTCTCTTGTTATGCAGCTACACTGATCAGCTGTCTCTTGATGTGGCTGCACTTAGAGGTGCACCGAAATGGAAATGTCAAAACCGAAAACCAAACCGAAATTAACAAAATTGTCAAGGCCGAAACCGAAAAAGTTTATTATTTTAATTTTTTCACATGTTTTAATATTTTCTTTTTATTTTTTACTTTATTTTTAGGGGCTTTGGGGAAATATTGGGGCTCTAAACAGACCCCTGATATTTCCCTTTTAAAATATAAAAAGAGATTGAGAACACAGAGTCCTCAATATCTTTTTCTGTGTCCCCTGTTATCAATGAACAGGAATCCTCTATACTGAGTGTTCCTGTTCATTTATAACATGAGGTCAGAGTGTGTTTACTATAACCTCGCTCTCTATCTGACACGCTGTCACAGGAGGCTGAGCGAGCGGTGCGGGAGGAGAGCTTGATCTGACAGCTGACTCCTCCCTGCACCGCCGGCCGGCCTCCTGTGACAGCGCTGCCTGTCTCCTCCCACATACCGCCGTGCCAGACTGTGACAGAAGGCTGAGCGATGTGGGAGGAGAGACGCCGGCCGCTCACATCGCTCTCCTCCCGCAGCGCTCGGCCGCCTGTGACAACTTCTCTCCTCCCCGCAGCGCCCAGCGGGGAGGAAGGAAACCAGGGATGCGCCGCTGTATCGGCACAAAAATTGCACTTTTCGGCATTTAGCCAAAAGTGCCATTTGCGGCCGATATGTTCCAGCGGCCGATATATCGGTGCATCCCTAGCTGCACTCCCCAGCAGTCTATTGTTATGTAGCTTCCTCAGTGGTCTCTCAATTGTGGCTTTTGATTGACAACAAAGTCTAAGGACACAGCACATGGAGGGGGAGGGGAGTAAATTGTGGCTAAATTTTGATTATGAAATGTGTGGAAAGTCTTTATAAATCTGTAAATGTTTCCACAAATTAGATTCTCCGATGGTGAAAACATTTGGAGAAGTTTCATGTTAACGTGTCAGAGATTTCTGTGCGCAGAGCGGCGCCGTCGTCCCGTGCGTCAGGCACGGGTGGCGCTGTGTACACGGCTTCCCGCTACATTGTCATTTGGCCGCCAGCGATGTCCCCGGAGGATTCTTCTCATTACCAGACAATTAATGAAACTTCATTTCTGTATCACTGAGCAGAGCGAACATGGCCCGGCCCTGACCCCGGAGTAGAGGACAACGGGGCCGCGTCTGTCTGTACTGACTGAGCCCTGGCCCACTGTCATGTCTTCTGGGCCCACATACTCCATATTCACCCTTTCATAGTGCCCACATACTGTACTTGGTTATGCCTTCCATAGTAACCCTCCACTTCGCATTCCCCTCATACTCCGCATTGCCCCCATAGTGCCCACATGCTCATTAGTGCTTCTTATTGTGCCCTCATGCCACATATTGTCCATATAGCGTCTCGTGGTGCCCCCGGGCTCAGTAGTGTACTCTTGCCCCGTGCACATTGATACCCTTCATAATGCCTCACTATGCTCAACAATGCCCCCCCACTCCCTCTACACATTAATACCCTTTCTAATGCCGCCCCCCCCATTCTCAGGTGTGCCCCCTATGCCCTGTGCACAAGCATACACTTCCTAATGCCCCCCCCCTCTCCCCATGCTCACCAGTGCCCCCTATGCCCTGTGCACATTAATACCCGCGATGGGGCGTACGTCCACTTTAAGGAAAGGGAAGTGTTCCTTTAACCCTTTGTGACATTGTGCCCATGCAGCGGCGCCGGTGAACGGGGCGTGGGCTCTTGCTGCAGTGAACGTGCACATTATTGCAGCGAGGTCTGCGGAGAAGCAGCGATATTAATAAGGATTCCGGAGAGCGGACTGCAGTCACGGCTTGTTACCATGGCAACCCCCCGGCGCTGCTCCCTCCCCCCCCCGCCCCCCCTCGACCGCGCTAATGCACTTCTACGGATTCGCACAGCATTTTAATTAGGCGCTGCGCTCGCCAGCATTACCGCTCGGACTCTTCCCTTTAATGTGTCTGTCTGCCGGAGGAAGAATACGACGATGGATTACATCGGACTTAATCCCTGATCCCGGGGATTTAGCATCTGTAGTCTGCCTGGTCCGCGGGGACCTCGGCAATCCTGTAAAAGGATAATACGGGTTTGAATGTCACCAACGGTGGGGCGGAAAGAAACTTCCCCGGCTGTAACATGATCATTCTAATGCCATTGTTGTAGAGGCCACTTTTGCAGGGCAGGGCGGGGACCAGATAACATCCGTGGTATCCGGTCCGGAGACGCCGGTCTTCTCCGGGAAAATCGCTGCAGCTGAAATGGAACTTTATTTTTACTGCTTCTTCTATATAGCAAGTGCTACAGAGTGAACGGGGTGCATGTAATGTGGGAAGCTCAGTGCTGCCCTCTACAGGGCCACTTTCTCTCCATAGACAGCAGCTTCCCCCTTACTGCCGCTATATTGACCACGGCGAGTGTAGCAGTGTGGCATCGGAAGCGACGTTCATGAAGTCTCTGATGTCATTATCGAATGTTCCGATTCAAGTTTTCATGACCGTTCGTATCAAAATCTACCAGTGTATGGCCGGGTTATATAGAAGTGAAGCCAAAATGTTTTGTTTGTAGTTTTGGAAAGATTAGGGGACGTATATAACCCCGTCAGCTCTTTTTTTTTTTTTGCCATCTGTGTCCCATTAGGGAGATTTCCCTTCACTTCCTGTCTGATAGACACAATAGGAAGTGAGAGGAAAACCCTCCATAGAGAAGGAACTCCCTGGTGGTCAGCAGGGTCACCAAAACTAGTGTCCCATTGGGGAGAGTTCCCTTCACTTTCTGTCCAATAGTCACAACAGCAAGTAAGATAAAATCCATTCAAAGAAAGGGAAATCCGTGTTGGTTAGCAGGAGGAGATTTCCCTTAGCTTCCTGTGTGGACAGGAAGTTAAGGGAAATCCCTCTAAAGAGATTGGAATCCCTAGTGGTCAGCAGGGTAGCTGGAACTAGTGCCCCCTTGGGGGAGACTTCCCTTCAATTTCCACAACAGAAAGTAAGAGGAAACCCCTCCAAAGAAAGGGAACTCCCTGGTGTCACCATTGGGGAGAGTTCCCTTCACTTCCTGTCCAGTAGCCTCAACAGGAAGTGAGACGAAATCCCTTCAAAGTGAGGTAAATCCCTGATGGTCACCAGGTTCACCAGAGCTTGTGTCCCCATTGGGGAAATTATCCTTCACATCCTGTCTAAAAGCCACAACAGGAAGTGAGAAGAAATCCCTCCAAAGAAAGGAAAATTCCTCTTGGTCTTAACTAGTGTGCCATTGGGTAGAGTTCACTTCCTGTCCAATAGCCACAACAGGAAGTGAGAGGAAATCTCTCCAAACTGAGGGAATCCCTGATGGTCAACAGAAATAGCGTCCCATTGGGGAGAGTTCCCTTCGCTTCCTGTCCAACAACAGGAAGTGAGAGGAAATCCCTCCAAACTAAGGGAATCTCTGGTGGTCACCAGAACTAGTGTCCCATTGGGGAGAGTTCCCTTCACTTCCCGTCCAATAGCCACAACAGGAAGTGAGAGGAAATCCCTCCAAACTGAGGGAATCCCTGGTGGTCACCAGAACTAGTGTCCCATTGGGGACGTAGTGCCTGATTGGATACCATTTGATTGGATGGTCTAGGTGGGTCCGTATATTACATGGTTTTGGTAGTCCTAAGGATGATTGTACAGTCAGATTGCACCATGTATGGTGACCCTGGCAACAGGAAGTAGTGTAAAGTGTATGACGGCCATACAAATCTCTCAGCGTGACCCATAGATAGTCCATGTGACCTCTGACCTCTGGTTTGTGTTACAGGGACTGAAGAAACCGAACATCGAAGAGATCAAGCACGCCCGCAATGCCGTCTTCAGCCCCTCCATGTTCGGCAGCTCCTTGCAGGAGATCATGAGTATGCAGAAGGAGAAGTACCCGGAGCGGCAGCTTCCCTGGGTGCAGACCCGGCTGTCCGAGGAGGTGCTGGCACTGAACGGAGATCAGACCGAGGGCATCTTCAGGTACGGTGCAGAGGAAAGCGGCCATCGTGGTGGCTGAGGGGCTTTGTCGTTCATTCCCGCCCATAAGCATGGAGATCACATGGTCTCCCTATGGTGGTCCCTCTGGATACAACCCGGGAAGGTCAATCGCCTTCTAACCAAACCCGGAGTGTGTCCGTTCCCATGGGGGGGGGGGGATTAGAGTGTGAGCTCCTCTGGTGCAGAGACTGGTGTGAGTGGCTCAGTGTTCTCTGTACTGCGCTGCAGTATATGTCAGAGCTATATAAATGTAGATCCTGGGCTGGATGCTGGTTGTCCAGCACAAGCTGTCCATGGACCCAACAGAAACCAATCCCAGTCGGTCCACTTTAGATCCTCAAAATGCTAAAACTTTTTCTCTCATCATTATACACACCGAGGTCTTCATTAGATTTGGTTGGCGCCTCGTTGGTGTCGGCGCTCATGCCTAGAATACGTGCCGGTAACAGGATGATGAATTGTCGGCTTTGATTGCGGCGCATGAATCTGCCAAGTCAGCGTGTGACACGACAATGTGTTTGTCCTTACAGGGTCCCCGGTGACATTGATGAAGTGAACGCGCTGAAGCTGCAGGTTGATCAGTGGAAGATCCCCACCGGACTGGAAGACCCGCACGTTCCAGGTAGGAATGAGGAGCAAACGCACCATTGGCGGTTGCAATTCACAGATACACGATATGGTCAGAAGTAGGGATGCACCGATAACGGTTTATCGGTATCGAGTATGAGTACCGATATTTTTTTTCCCGGTACTCGCCGATACTGAGTACCGTTGCATTGTGTCCCGATTATCAGGAAGTCGGGTGGCAGGTCATGACGTGCCGCCCGGTTTTCTGAGTGCTTGTGAAGCCGGTGCTCTAGCGAAAGAAGACCGGCTTCAGAGGCTGCCTGGCTTCCTGACCAGTCAGGAAGCCTGGAGGCGAGTCATGAGGTGCCGCCCGGCTTCCTTATTGGTTAGGAAGCCAGGCTGCTTAGCAACACATGAAGCCGGCTTCCTAGCCAATCAGGAAGCTGGGCGGCACGTCATGATCCGCCTCCCGGCTTCACTCGTTCCTAGGCAGCCTGGCTTCCTGACCAGTCAGGAAGCCTGGAGGCGAGTCATGAGGTGCCGCCCGGCTTCCTTATTGGTTAGGAAGCCAGGCTGCTTAGCAACACATGAAGCCGGCTTCCTAGTCAATCAGAAAGCCGGGAGGCGGGTCATAACCCACTGCCCGGCTTCTGGATTGGAAAGGAAGATGGCTCCATGCTCCCTCGGCACTTGGGGTCAGAGGGTGATGTTCCGGTATCAGAGCATTTGGGCGAGTACAAGAACTAGTATCGTTGTCAGTGCATCCCTAGTCAGAAGTGTTATTATAGAAGAACCCAGACCACCGCCCAACCCATGTGCAATAAACATATATACAGTACTTGGCATGGAAGGTGCAAGATTGGTTACATTTTTGAAGGATATGTTCATACTATTTTGACCATTTATGGAATGAGGCGGATTGATATCTGACGTTCCCCTCGTTGATACCCACCAAACCCACTTATGTGACTCTGAAGACACCCAAACTTTGGATTTCCAGAAGACAGTCTCATTGTTTAGCTATAACAAGGTCAATTGGAGATAACCCACGGCCTTCCGTGCTTGTTCTCAGACGATTTATACCGATCACATGTCCACATATTCTTATCCATTAACTCTCTACATGGTTGGAGGAGCTGAGGGAACCAAACCATAACCACAAGACACGAAGCCTGGCTGAACCATGCTCACAATTGGCCAACAGTATGTAGACCTTTCACCATCACAGCTACACTACCCAGCATTGAGTATGTGGACCCCTCACCATCACATCTAGACTACACAGCAATGAGTATGTGGACCCCTCACCATCACATCCAGACTACACAGCAATGAGTATGTGGACCCCTCACCATCACATCCAGACTACACAGCACCGAGTATGTGGACCCCTCACCAAATGATGGAGTTCAGGTGTTCCCAGTGAAGGATTGTTACTACTACACCATACAAAGACATCGTAGACAATTGCGCTCTTCCAACCTTGTGGTCACAGTTTGGTGGAGGTCCTTTTCTGTTCCACCATGACCTGTGCACAAAGCCAGCTCCATAAAGGTGAGGAAGGGACGCCCCTCCACTGTGCAATCCCAAGCTGGGGGGGTCAGAGATGTGACCTTACTTTACTGCATAGCAGCAGCAGAGGAAAATCTGGTCAAACCGTCCGGCTGTGCTTTGTGACAGAGCTGCGTAATTCCCCTTAGACTAAGAGGGAGTGCATTGTTCTGACCCAGTCATGACTGACCCATAGGCTGAGGGAGGAACAGCAAATCACAATCACTTGTGCGGCACTACAATGCAAGAAGCGGAGGCTGCATATGGAATGTGTGATAAAATTATCATTAAAAAAAATCTCACAGGTAATGATTCCTCTCACTGGTCACCTGTTGCTCCTCCTCCCAGTATGACACACGGGGTCATATGTAAAGGGGACCTGTCATGGTGCAGGCACTACAAACTGGCATGTATACAGAAAAAACAAACAAAGTCTGAGGCGCAACTACCCTGTTTCCCCGAAAATAAGACCTAGTACTATTTTTGGGAATTGCTAAAATATAAGACCTACCCTGACAATAAGACCTAGTTGTGACCATTGCCAGGGCCGGTGGTGGCATAAGGGGGAACTTGAAGAGCCGCAGGAGAGGCGGGAGAGAATCAGCGGTGCCATGAAGCCAGCGTTAGAGGAAACGAGGCGGCACCGGAGGGAGCCGATGCCTCCTCTATAGCGCCGGCTCCTGTCACAGGCGGAGTGATACCAAATGCACTCCGCCTGTCAGGAATCCATAGTGAAAGCGCGCTTCACTCATTATGGCCAGCGATTTGGTTAGCAAATTGCTCTTGGAAAGGTACGGCACCCCTGATCACCATATTTTTGTACATGAATACATGTAGACTGTTGTACATGAATAAGTGCGGATTGTTGTACATAAAAAAAAATAAGACCTACCCCGAAAATAAGACCTAGTGTGTTTTTTTTAGCCCAAAAAAATATAAGACAGTGTCTTATTTTTCGGGGAAACACGGTACCATGGCGATGGACAGATGAAAAGGGGAAAAGGTGGGCTGGGGCACGCAGGGTTAATGCTGCCCGAGAAGCAGTATATTGATATTTCTCCTCCGTGGAGTATTGAGTATCAAGGGGGGGAGAGGAAACAAAATAGGTGCAGGTGAAACAGAGGCAAGTTGAGAGGTGTATAGTGCGTATATCAACTCACCGTGAGGTTCTTAGAGAAGTGTAGTCATCGACGACGGGATTCGTGTTGGAGGCGAAGTCCGACGGTCTCCTCCGGGTCTGGGTGATGGATCTTGAGTTGCATAGTCGAGGTGTAGTTCCGTCGAATGCCTGTGTGTGGGACGTACTGCTGGACTGCTGGGCTGAGTTGCAGTGGCTTAGGGGTATGTCAGTCCTACCCGCTGGTGCCGCCGGGAGCTGGAGCGTCTGGTCCGCTGGCGGGTGGGGGACGCCGATCGCGTCCTGTGTTGAAGATGGATTTCGGTGGTGGAGAAAACTGGCGGTGCGGGAAGTAGTCCTGTGTCCGAGGTTAGGTGGGTGACGGAATGCGCAGGCGACGACGGCGGCGGTCGAGGTGGTCCAATGGTTGAAAGGACGCTTGTGGTTGACACCCCGGTCCATGCTAAACTGAAGCCGCACGCCTAGGAGAGCGCTGTCACACAGGACTTGAATCCTCAATTTTTTTCTACTACAAACTGGCAGAAAGAGCTAAAACCGAACTCCGGGAAGAGAAACATGAATCATCAATTGGTGTGAATGTGTTCATTAGAAATCATATAGAGGTTATTCACCAAGGAGCCGAACGATCCAGCTGTAGCTGCGGCTGATCCTTCCGCCACCGTATATTCTCACTATAGCCCTACAGCAGCCGCAGGTGGCCGAGTGACTCAGACGAGCCAAAGGCATATGCTTCGGCTCGACTGAGCTGAAGGGACATCCGAATTGTGGTGAACAGCCTGCCGAATGATGGCCGTTCGCCCTGGAAATGACAGCTGGGCGGAGCCTGATAATGCACAGGAAGCGCACTGATATCAGGAGTGCCTAGACACAGGAAGCACACTGATATCAGGATGGCCTAGGTGCAGGAAGTGCACTGATATCAGGAGTGTCTAGGCACAGGAAGCACACTGATATCAGGAGTGTCTAGACACAGGAAGCACACTGATATCAGGAGTGTCTAGACACAGGAAGCACACTGATATCAGGAGTGTCTAGACACAGGAAGCGCACTGATATCAGGAGTGTCTAGACACAGGAAGCGCACTGATATCAGGAGTGCCCAGACACAGGAAGCGCACTGATATCAGGAGTGTCTAGGTACAGGAAGTGCACAGCCCAAGCACCATACATTTATAAAGCACGGTAGGAGAGCCCGCTTAAAGTCACATGACTGGCTCTCCTCCAATCACAGAGCTCTCTCTGCTACGCTGAGGAAAGGGAACTCCGGGGGGCTTCACCAGCTACCCTCCCTGGTCGGATTTTGATGAATGGGACAGGCCACAGTGTTATCAGAGCAGTGACAGAGATATCCGTTATAAATGGGCCCCTCAGTGAACATCGGGGGCCCCGTCTGCATGTTTTCTGTGTATTGAGTTGCAGCTTTTCAGGTCAAACGCTGAACTAAAAAGAACATGAAATTTCTCAGCTTCATAGAACATCCATTTCCCCGATCTCTATAAACTGACCCCAAAATATCATCCCATTGTACACCGAGCGCGAGGTCTCCCGGTGACGTCTCCGCAAACTCCGCCGTTCTGCTGCTCTCTGGCTGTCAGATCGGTCCCCATGTGGCACCTTGTTACCATGGCAGCCAGCGTGAAGGACCCCTCTATGCTGCAGTTCTCCGTCACCTTATTTAAACCGTGCAGGATAACATTATCGCGCTCAATGTCACGGCGGAGCGATGAATACACGCAGATCATGAGGCGTATTATGCAGCAATCAAGCGCCACGTACACCTCACCGTCCAGATATTTATTTTTAATTAAAGATTGAAGTGAGTGTCGTTCAGATCGGCAGGGACTGGAAAAATGGAGGACTGATCGGAGTCTGGTGAAAAACTCCTTGCTTGTAGTACATAGAAATATGGGATCTGAATTCCAAATGCGTTAAAAAGTATAATTATAATAGTAATAATAATAGCAGTATTAGAGTAATCATAATAATACAGCAATAATGATAATAATAACAGCAATAATAATAATAGTAGTAACAATAAAATTAATAGTAGACATAATGATAATAATAAATGATAATAGTAATAATAATAAAATAACAGCAATAATGATAATAATAACAGCAATAATAATAATAATAGTAACAATAAAATTAATAATAGAAATAATGATGATAATAATAATAAATAATGATAATATGAAGGTATTCAAGTGCAATGATTGAAATCTGGGTTGGCGGTGGCCATCCGTCCGCATCCGATGCACCACTTTATATTGATGGAACAGCGGCGGGGATATGGACCATATAGTGCGGCGGGTATATGGACTGTATCCTGTTTATGCGCATGCGCCCCATTGAAATGATGCAAT